AAACCACACCCCTCTAGAGCACGTTGCCCCACCACGTAGACATGCCTTAAGAGAATGAGAACGTAGCACGAACAAAGCAAGGCGAAGGGATCTGCATGAATTCAGGGTTGTCAGGTGGATGTCATTTTGCACTGAAAGGCTTTTTCTTTTTCTTTGCTCTACTGGCAATACTACAGGGGATGTCTGTTCAGTGACCGAGCTGCTTTCATAGATTCACAGAACTTAAGGCCAAACGGGACCATTAGGATCACTGGGACTGACCTCCAGCATAACACAGGCCAGGGAACATCACCCGGTGATTCCTGTTTCAGGGATGGCCATGAACACTATCATTTAAACATAACAGTAACGGATCATATAAGTATTAGAAAGCAAAGCCAGATGCAATGTAGATAGATCTAAATATATCCATATAAAGATCAGCTAAATGTAATAACTTCTTTTAATATACTTTCAATGCACATAATGGTGGTGATTAAAAAAGTCAACAATTCTTGCATACTGGTGCCGGAGACATAACCGCTACTTCCTATTCTGAATAGTCGGGGAACCTGCAGAATCTCCACTATCACCGCGTAGGAATTGCGCGTAGATGCTGCTATTTGAAATGGTGAGCCTTGTATTGAAGTAGAAGACCATTACTATAGTTTATTCTTCCCCCTGACCCACCACACACAAACAACACAAGGACAACTTAATTGCTGGTGTAACTTCCCTGATATGCCTGGATGACAATCGGGGAGAACTTGACAAATAAAGACAAATCTTAGGGTGATACCACCATACTTGGGTGAAGAGAGGGAAAGGGAGCTTATATAAACTGCCGTGGGGGGAAAAAAATCACTATTGGGTCATGTTTATCCATAGAAAAGGTAGACAGTGATCTCTAGGTAAACAAAAATCTTTGGTGTAGCCAAGCCGTCAAGAAACCATCATATTGTTTAGGATGTACCCCTTTCAGTACAAAGATGACCAATTTACTCAGACCTATCAAATCAGTTCTGCCTTAGAAATGCTACTTCCTCAAACCGTGGCAGCCTCAAAATGCATACTGCACCACTGTGTTATAACTCAATGAGATAATCCTAATCAAGGCAGATGATGAAAGATGGCCAGAGAAGTGACTCTCACCCTTCCAGCTCCACATCCGACCACTTGAGCGGCATTTCCCAAAGTAGGGGGCATAAATGGACACCAGGCTGATGGGCAGACAGATCTCAGTTGTTCTCCAACATTTTTTTTTAATTAAAGCTAAAGAGTTCCTAGATCTCATCATTTCAAAGAAAACCTACAAAATTCAATGCTGAGGCATCCACCTGAGTTTGCAGAGAGCCTGAAGCAGCAGCTCCAAGAGAGCCGAACTGTCTCATTCATTTCACTAGGCGTTCGCTTGGATCCCAGTGATGGCATTTTAAATTGTTAATGATTTCAATTATCAGAGGGGTAGCCGTGTTAGACTGGATCTGTAAAAAGCAACAGTCTGTGGCACTGTAAACG